TTACTAAAGTACATTGTAAACTGTTCATAGAAATTTATTTACTGCTTGAGATTTTACTGTTTTAATTCTCCGACCCGCTGGTCAAATTTTCAAATTTTGCTATTTTTAAATCGTTTTTTGTTGGAAAGCATGTAACACAGATCTGTGTGAAGACCCATATGAGTCTTCGGTAGTATAGTGGTAAGTATCCCCGCCTGTCACGCGGGAGACCCGGGTTCGATTCCCGGCCGGAGAGTAACTTTTTGAATTTTTTCGTTTCGAGCATACAGAATGTGGCAATGCTAAAAGTGTAAAAACATTTAAATTGTTTTTTTTTGGGTTGCAGGAGGTGCTGTTGCTCGTTTACATGCACCAATGGCAACTGCAGAAATCGAGGCCGATGAGGATGGTGTCGTAACGGCAGAAACTCCTACCAGGCCCAAATACAACCTGGAGGCTCTGCTGAGTCTGGACCGTCGGCCTGATATCGGCCAGCTTTTACATGAAGCCTCCTTTCAGCCATATTTTATTTCCGTGTATGCCGAAGAAGAGGTAATATGCATATTTCATTAATTTTTTCGACTAAGTTTAACGTTTTTCATGTGTGTATTTTGAGCTCAAGAATATTGTACTGCTCTTGCAGGCCGCCTGCTCGAGCCCTGTAGGCGCCAATCATGTGAAGGAGCTCCTGAGCGATTATCAGCGTCTTGATGCTGACTTTGCGCTGCTTCAAGAAGGCCAGAAAGGCAATCACAAGGCTGGTAGGTTTTTAGCTCGACTTATGCAAAAAAGCTTTGAAAACGCAACTTCCAGGTGAAGCTAATGGGGGCGATATGGGGGTGGAAGAATACGAAGAAGCTGTGCCTCTACATGGAGATAAAATGTTCCACTATTTCATCACCAGGGTAAAGTCCAACCCAGAACAGATACTGAGGTAGGTTTCAGAGGTGAGAGTAGACAACTCGCTCTGAGCCCACCTCCTCTTTAGGTACCATCGTGAGGGAGTTCCTCTTTTGCTGTACCCCCTGCAGGAGCCGATTGGACGCTGCAAGAATTGTCAACAAGAGCAAGTTTTCGAACTGCAGTTGGTTCCGACGCTCGTCTCCAAGCTGAGACTTTCCGGCGAGTCAAAATCTTGCCCAAGTAGCCTGGATTTTGGAACAGTTCTGGTCTACACTTGCCGGAACAGTTGCTGGGGGCCCAACGATCTCGTTAAAGAGGAAACTGTTCTCGTCCAGAAGGAAATGTTCTAGTTGGCACGCGACTGACATTGACATTATTAGTATGCGAGAATTAAGAAGTTTAGACAACGTCCTATATTCAATCGTTCACTTATGTAAGTAGAAAAATCCTTCCATGTCTAGTCAGTAAAATGTGTGGACCGCAACTGGGGTCCCGTAAGACAAGTTGAAAAAACCGCAAATATCAACATAAAAATTACTTTTTATTTGTAGTTAAAAAGTACAGCCCAAGTACCCGGCACTTGACGCAATAAATAAATTAAATATCTAGTCTTTTGATACAAAAAGATGAAATCAAATTCAACTGAGGACACACGCACACTCGTTCTCACAGTTAGCACACATAATCACTAAGATGTTCAATTTCTGATCAGTCTTATTGCAGGATTTTAAAGTTCATCCTTGAGGTCGTCGTCGTCTTCACCCGACGTCGCAGGCGGTGCACCGCCTGAGGACTGATAGAGCTTAGCGATGATGGGCTGGACGACGTCTTCGAGCTCCTTCTTCTGTTTCTTGTAGTCTTCAGCATCGGTGTCTTGATTCTCTTCCAGCCACTTGATCTTCTCATCGATGGCTTCTTCCATCTTGGTCTTCTCGTCATCGCTCAACTTGGCGCCTAGTTTGTCCTTGTCGGCCAATTGGTTCTTCAGCGAATACGCGTAACTTTCTAGTTCGTTCCTTGCCTCGACTCTCTCTTTGAGCTTTTTGTCTTCGTCGGCGAATTTTTCAGCATCGTGAATCATCCTGTCGATGTCATCGGGTGTGAGCCTGTTTTGGTCGTTGGTGATGACGATTTTCTCTCGGTTTCCGGTTCCCTTGTCTTCGGCCGATACTTGAAGAATGCCGTTGGCATCGATTTCGAAAGTGACTTCAATTTGAGGAACTCCTCTGGGTGCTGGTGGGATTCCGGTGAGGTCAAACTTGCCCAGGAGATGGTTGTCTTTGGTCATGGGACGTTCACCCTCGTATACCTGGAAAATAAAGTTTTAAACATCGTTTTACACATGTAACCAACAGACGGATGCTGGCGCTTTTCATGCTCAATTTTGCTTTCATTTACCTGAATGGTAACAGTGTGCTGATTGTCAGAGGCAGTACTGAAGATCTGAGATTTCTTGGTCGGGATGACGGTGTTTCTCGGGATAAGCTTGGTCATGACGCCTCCAACAGTCTCAATGCCCATAGTTAGAGGATTGACGTCCAACAAAACGATGGCATCAGTGTCCTGTTCGCCACTGAGAACTCCAGCTTGCACGGCAGCCCCGTACGCCACTGCCTCATCGGGGTTGATGCCTCTGGACGGTTCTTTGCCACCGAAGAATTCTTTGACCAGTTGCTGCACTTTGGGGATACGGGTTGAGCCGCCCACCAGCACGATTTCGTCCACACTCTTTTTGTTCATGTCGGCGTCTTCCAATACCTGCAAAAAAATCGTTGGTTACGAACGTTCCATTACTTCCAAGATCTCGGGTCTTTACCTTCTGGACTGGCTTCAAGGTGGACCTGAACAAGTCCATGTTCAATTCCTCAAATTTCGCCCGCGTTAATGTTTCCGAGAAGTCCTCGCCCTCGAAGAAGCTTTCAATTTCAATCCTGACTTGATGGCTGGCCGATAGCGTTCTCTTGGCCTTCTCAACTTCGCGTCTCAACTTCTGTACGGCTCTGTTGTCTTTTCTGATGTCTTTGCCCTTCTTCTTCTTGTAGAGCTTGATGAAGTGGTCCATCACTCGCTGATCGAAATCTTCACCTCCCAAGTGCGTGTCTCCGTTAGTTGCCACCACTTCGAACACCCCGTTATCGATGGTAAGAAGAGACACATCGAAGGTACCACCGCCCAAATCGAAGACCAATACGTTCTTTTCGCCTTCTTTCTTGTCCAGGCCGTAGGCAATTGCGGCAGCGGTGGGCTCGTTGATGATTCTCATTACGGTCATACCTGAAAAAACCGTTTCGCATCAATAACGCCCAATAAGCCATGAATTGATTTAGTTTAGTTCTTAGCCGGATAAGGTTTAAAATGCTCACCAGCAATGATACCGGCGTCTTTAGTAGCCTGACGCTGAGCGTCGTTGAAATAAGCAGGCACTGTTACAACAGCATGTGTGACCTTTTTGCCCAAGTAAGCCTCGGCAGTTTCCTTCATTTTGGTCAAAACCATCGCGGAAATCTCCTCAGGAGCGAAAACCTTCTCACCCTGGCTGGTGTCTACCTTGATGTGGGGCTTGCTGCTCTTCTCAATCACCTGAACGCCAAGCAAAATTAGCACTGGAAACAAGCAGGAAACTGATCAACGGCTTGCCTTGAATGGGAAGAATTTCACATCGTGTTGAACAGTGGCATCGCTCCAGTCGCGCCCGATCAGACGCTTAGCGTCGAAGACGGTGTTCTCTGGATTGGTGGTAAGTTGATTCTTGGCAGCGTCTCCAATCAGACGCTCACCATCAGCTGTGAAGGCCACATATGAAGGGGTGATACGGTTACCCTGGTCGTTGGCGATTATCTCCACTCTGCCGTTCTTGTACACGCCCACGCTGCAACAGATTGGAAATTTAGGATTTTTTTCTTTAGTTTTCGGTTAGTCTGCACAGGAGGTTTGTCAGTGATTGAATGTCTTAAGGATAGGCTAGAGACTAAGAGCTAATTACTGGTTCCTTGAACAGCTCAGCTGCCCACATTTGGTGAAATATGCTCTACTATATGGCGACTTACCAGGAGTACGTGGTTCCCAAATCGATGCCAATTACAGTGCCAACCTCGTCCTTTCCATCCTTTTTGTCCTCTTTCGCCAGGACGCTGGCAATGAGGCACAACGCCCCCAAAGCAAGATGTAATTTCATTGCGGCTGCTTCTGGCAACTGGCTGAGCTGAACTCTGCAAAAACACAAATCGGTATTGTCGCACTCCAAACTAGGTGAGAATAACGGTATTTGGAACACTCCTACTTAATAACTGTTTTTGTTAAATAATGACACGTCAACCAGGAGCTGATGCTGTGGGCTTGAACTTAACTTCGACTTTAATCAGCTACCTACAGATAAAAAGGGGGCAATAAAAGCGAGGTGAATAATACAGTCTCAACCCGTCTGGAACTATTTAATGTGAAGATAACGACAAGTTATGGGGGGCATTTCCAGAGAAGTCGGCGCATTAAATTTACCGGTATTAACTCGCAAAAAACGAGCACAGTATTTCCACATTACTTACCAATGAACTAATAAAACGATCACGATATACACGACTATTTGAAAGCCCTAAATTCGCACTAAAACCACTGTTAAACTGCTAGTTCTCTTGACACAAATTGAATGACTGATCAATCGGTCTGTCAGGGCAAAAATATACTACACTTTTCATCCGTGGTTGCTTCCGATTGGTCAGAGTTTAAATTTCATCGAAAATCATTGGTCGAAGGTTCGCAAGTTGTCGAGTCGCCATTGGTCCACGTTGGGAGAATCGCGCTTTTCACCGGGCAAAGACAGTCGATCAGAAACGTACACGTTTCTAGTAAGTTCGCGAAGTGGGAAACGTACGTGCGTGGTTGCACCAGACAAGTTCGAAATAAGAGCGGGTGTTTTGAAATCGGATGGCTTTGGAAAAGTCCAAGTTAATCGGTTTAATTACTCATTTATTCGTAGATTTAACGTCTAATGCAACATTGCACAAACACATACTCAGAATCTGCCATTCGCTTTTTTAGCCAGCAGTATTTTTAAAGTGGAAAGTGCTAGAATGACCTACTAATGTTTTTTCTGAGTCTACCGTATCCCATGAATTACCAGTTGTGGAATCAAAACTTATTATATAAAAGAAATAGTAAATTTCTACGCCAATAAATTTCTACTAAGCGTTGCATTACAACAATCGAAGTTATATAAGTGAATCAAAATGCGAAATGAACCCAAAGTGTTTCAATATCCCAATTTATTTTGGTTGAACTTACTTAATATTTAGCCCTGCACCAGAAAACGTTCTCTACTTTACTCAACTATGTTCTTTATTTTGCTTCTTTTCCAGCTTGATTGTTAAGTTAGTATCTTCTTACTATTTCAGTTGCAGTTACGGATATGCAACTTAAAGGAGCGCGTTGGATGATGTAGCTTTACTTCTATATTTACAAGTTTGCGTAAAATATGAAGAAATAAATTTTATATAACAATGGAATGGGACAATTTGAGCAAAAAATTACCGAAAATGTTTCTTTTACATGCTCCGATAACTGTAATTTAATACGATCTTATGACAATCTGGAGCTTATTATTATACCATTGTTTTTATGTAAGTTAAGAGTTAGATAACTCAATTAATCTGATCCATTTTTTCTATCATAATTTGTTGTATTGTATAATTTGTAAACAGCCAATAAAAGTTATAATTTTTCCCAAAAAAATACAATAAATAGATTGCGTAAATAAAACTGCAGTTAAATGCCGCTTTATCAGTTATTTCAACGCTACACAATGCCCTTTTGGCGTCAATTACACCGTTGCCAATGCAGCAAACTGCGCTAAATTGAAACCCGATTTCTGTCAATAGTCAGTTGTCATAATTCATTCGTTGCTTGCCATAAACGAAAACAGAAACATCAGATTACGACCATGGCGGACCCCTTAAGTTTACTTAGGCAATATAACGTGAATAAAAAGGATATAATCGAAAGAGATGGCCAAATTATCTTTGGAGAATTCTCCTGGCCTAAAAATGTCAAGACGAACTATCTTATGTATGGGTAAGTACTCCTATACGGCGACGGAACTCTAAGGTCAGATCTGCTTCACTTGGGAACTCCATCAGGACCCCAAAAGTTCCCTTTTTAAGACGCTGTTGCTCAAATTGAAACTGGCGATCCTCTATTTGAGTGGTCCTAGTGCGAGGGTTGAAAAACATGCCCATGTTGCTAATTCATGACTCTTCATGGCGCTCTAGCTCTTTATGAAAGCGTGATTAAAAAGTTTGTCAGTAACAGATTTTCTATGAAATGAGCATGTTATTAACTACCAACGGGAGGGCCTGACCATCTAACCGAATTTATTTAATTTGTAACTTGGAAAATCTGTTTAAAGATGTGGAAAGGACGGCGCAGCAAAAGAATACTACACACTAGAGTGCTTACTATTCTTTCTCAAGCACGTGACTCTCACCCATCCGGTGTATGTACGCCAAGCGGCGGCTGAAAGTATCCCAGTAGTGAGACGTCCAGACCGAAAGGAGCTACTGGCCTATTTAAATGGAGAAACTGCGAGCTGTGGGGCTATCGACAAGGGCGCTCCATTGGAACTCCCCACACAAGTAACCATTCAGTCCTTGGTCAGTGGAGCTAGTAGTATAGTCCAATTGTTACATAGGTCAAAAGATCCGCGGATTACGATGGCTTAGAGAGCATCTCGAAGAAACCCCGGTTTGAGGACACACACGTGCAAAAAGTGCGAGAAAAATATGCCGCACGTCTGGATACGCCAAAAGAAGCCTCCGTGACTGTGGACAACATCAAGTCGCTCTCAGAGGCAATGTCTGTTGAGAAGATCGCTGCCATTAAAGCAAAGCGTTTGGCTAAGAAAAGGAATACCATCAAAGGTCAGTAAGCCCAAGAGTTTGGCCATAACAGCTTGTTTGCTGATTCCTGATTTCCTTGTTATAGGTATCGATGATATTGGACAGGAGTACGACATCAGGGCCATTCTGGATTTGGACGTGGACATAACAAAGGATATTATAAGCAGGGAAAGGCAATGGCGTACTAGAACCACAATTCTGCAAAGCACAGGAAAGCACTTTGCCAAGAACATCCTGGCCATGCTGCAAAGCATACAGGCAAGGGAAGAAGGTAAGTGGCGACACCGATTGATCGCAATGAATGAACACCTTCAAGGCCTAACAAACAACTGTTGCAGGTCGGCAAAGGCCTCAGCCAGTTCTGCCGCCTATAACAACGCCCCGCCCAGCAATCCCACGTCCGATTCCGGCCCAGCAGTCCGCATACAATCGTTACGATCAAGAGCGATTCAATCGGCAAAAAGAGGAGACTGAAGGCTTCAAAATCGACACCATGGGCACTTACCATGGGATGACTTTAAAATCTGTCACTGAGGGCCAACCAAAGACTCGCCCTCAACAGCCTGTTAGTCAGGCGCCCCAAACTCCGTTGCCGGTGAGCCAAGCAAGGCCACCTCCAGGTGGGATGCAAAAGCGGGTGTCCAGGACCCCGATTATCATAATCCCAGCTGGTAAGATGCGTTCTTTCGTGTTTGCTGCAAATAGGCAACGAATTTTTCAGGTGCAAACTGCTTGATATCCATGTACAACGTCAAAGATATCCTCCAGGAAATGAAGTTTGTCACCCAAGAGCAGAAGAGAGGTCAAGGAGGAAAGCGAGATAATGAAGTGCTGATTCAGCGCCAAAAGAACGGTCAAACTGTTCCCTATAGAGTAGTGGATAACCCGACCAAGTTAAGTCCTAGCGATTGGGACCGAGTCGTGGCAGTGTTCGTGATGGGGCCAGCCTGGCAGTTTAAAGGGTAACGTTGCCCTACCGATTTCCGCAAGCAAATTCTATTCTGAATATCTCGCTCGGCAGGTACCCTTGGGAATCTCCCGTAGAAATATTCGATAAAATCGCCGCTTTCCACGTGAAGTATGACGAAATGAAACTGGAACCCAATGTCGCAAAATGGAACGTGACCGTAATTCAGCTGTCCAGAACGAAACGGCATTTGGATAGAGCTCAACTGATGGTGTTTTGGGAAAAATTGGACAAGTAAATTGTTTTAATTTTTTCCGATAGTAGCAACTAAACCTTGTTTTTTAGGCATATCATGCAACACAAGCCACATCTGCGATTTTAATGGGCTGAAACGTTTCAGTCACTACCACCTGTATAAAGATCCATGCCTCATTTGTATATAGCTCGCCTTCGGAATAAATACTTTATTTCACATCATGCGAATGATTGCCCGTTAACACAAATCGACACCCAGTACAATGTTATTCATCACCTCGATGAATAGAGTTGAAAATCCGGTTGCGAATGCGTCCAGCCTTAGTAGACAAATTATATTGAAGCGACATGTGTTCGAGTAGGAACAGTAAAGAACTAAGTGCCACCCCGTAGACCATGACTGCAAATTCTAGTTTAATGAAAAGGTTTGGAGCATTTCAACCATTACTTAGAAAAGCCCCATAGCTGTCCACCAATCCGACGCTCTCAAAGTTTCCTCCGATGCTGTCGCAGAAGGGCTTTAAAGGAAACAGACGTTTATACTCCCGGCTGCGAATGCCCCTTTCTTGAATGCTGTTCATTCTGAAAGTTTCCTATCAATTAATCTTCGTTGAGTGGTTTGCAGCTCTATACCCAATCCGCAAAGCGTCCCTGTACTGGGAATTTTTCCCCATGAACAGCCAATGATTGATGTGGGTGTTTTTGAACGGGATCTCCCTCAGGCTGCACTTTTCGCTCTCCTGAAACCAGCGGTTTATATACCGGTAAACTTCCGAAGTCTCTGCGTAGAAGGCAAAGAAGTCGTTCTGCAATCTTTTAACTCCCTCTTCCAATGTAAAAAATTGCGGTTCTTTCAGTTTGCCGTGGTAATCCGCCCTGTTAGGTTGATGCTTTAAATCCTGTAAATATCAATTCTTATTTATTTTCCTGACTGTGTACTTTTTTTTTGAAGTAATTTTTTTTGAATATCGTTTATTTCATTACGTTTCGGCGAGACAACAGCGCCATCATCAGATTTAAAATTTACACAAACTCATGATTGGTACAAATCAACGTTCTTTTAGGTCTTTGCTTTCTTAAGATGGCAAAGACCTAAAAGAACGTTGATTTGTACCAATCATGAGTTTGTGTAAATTTTAAATCTGATGATGGCGCTGTTGTCTCGCCGAAACGTAATGAAATAAACGATATTCAAAACATTTTTACTTCACACTTTGACTGAGACCCAGGAAAGATAAGAATATCAGACTAAATATGAATGCTTTCCAATCGATTGGTTCAACTTTGCTACGCACATTGAAGAAGTCCAATGAAATGTTCTGCTTAAAGCCCACATTGATCCGGGATTGGAACAGGTTATCGAAGGTGTTGAGACTGTCGGTGGTGGATTGCAACAGAGCCACAATACTGGCTGAAAAAGACGTGTAAAGAAACATGAACGAAATCAGAGTCGACATGAAAACGATTCTTCCCGAGTTGCTCCTTGGCTCCGCTTCAAATCCTTGTTGAGCTGCTGAACCCACCTCCATCAAAAGTATATCCACGGGATTTGGTCTGCAAGCAGCAAGTCAAACCGGGTTTGAGAACATGGTGATTTTACCTCAAGGAAATGTTGGGCTGTAGATTGAGCTTGAAAACGGGATCTTTCCACTCCCAGCACACCACCAGGTGTACGATGAGAAATATCACGCCCATAAGGCCGAAACATGAGCACCAAACATATGAATCAAAGGGCAAAGTGAACACATTGCTGATGTACGAATGGGGTGCGGCTCTGAAGACAAATGTCTTATCCTCCCTAAGGGTTTTAGCTAAAACGTCCAGACGGCCGATTTTTTCAGCTGTTAGGGCTAGCGGGGTTCCTGAAAAAGATATCAGTGATCCTTTCAAGCTCTCGCTTGCTCCACGCCCACCTCCAATGTCGCACTTTCCCGCGATTAAATCGTTAACCAGCTCTGGTTCACCGGACCCAATTTGAAACGCGTCTGTCTTAGTTGAGTTGATCATCCGTATGCCATCTTCCAGTAATACACGGTTTAACTTAGTCGTTGCTTCAGCCACTGGCTGATATCTGAATTGATCACCAACGTTGCCTGTTTAGTTGGGATGAAGTCTAGCAACTTACTCGGAACTTTCCAGGCCTTCGTGCTTATCGCCGACTAAATAGCAAACCTTCAAGTTAGTGGCGCGCAATTTTTTCTTCGCAATCGGCCGTTCGATGTACCGGTGCGTCTTCGTCCAAGTGCCAATAGTTACATTGCTGACACCACTGTAGATCTTGCTGATTGCGAAGCCTTCGCCTGAAGGCTTCAGAAACAAGGCGTTGCTGTTAACGGGAAAGTAGTGGGGTGTTAAGGCTGCTGGGTTGATCAGCAACAAAATCACACGAGGCGTCAGCAAGTTGCGCTTTTGCATCTAAAAAATGTTTCCTTTGAAACCCCAAACCAAATCGCGGCGTTATAAGCTACGTTTTCCAGGAAAAAGTCGGCTCCTTTACAAGACATGTCCATCAGGATCACAACTTGGCTTTTCGTGGACTGAAATTCGTGATACTTTGCGTGTAACGCAAACCTCGGCAAATGCAGTTGCAGCTCTGAAACAGCAAACGTTTTGCCTCTGGTTGCTTCACGGCTTGCTTGCTACCTTTGTCCCAGCACACATGGGTGTAAACCTTCTTTGAAAACCTGTAAAAATCCAGCAAATCTTCGATAAGTAAAAGAACATCATCCGCATGGACCCCGCAAATTAATGCAAACCACATAAAAAAGCCGAAGTAGAGCGTGTTCATGCTGAGCTTCTACTAAGACGTACTCGGCTATAGAATACTTAAAAATTAATTTTTCGTGACAGCGGTCGTTAAGCGCCCGAGTTTACCAAGCAAACCTGTAATTTGAGCCGATTATACAGAACTAACAAAACAAGCGATTTAATAAATGGGCGCACTAAAGCTTTGCCGTTCAACCCGGCCACAAATGTGTGTAATAATCAATCACCTTCACCCAGAGTGGGACAATAGACGGGACTAGACAAAAATATACTTTTAATCACACGTTCGTCCAATGCTTCAATACACAGATAGTATACATTAGGTCTTCTTGCAACGGAACCCAGGCGGCCATATGTCTGTTCTTCAGCTCAAGCAAAAAGTTGCCGAGGACTTCGGTTTGGGCGATGAACGACCCGTGCGACTTCAGCAAAACGCTCATATAGGCCTCCGCCAACTCAAAGTCTCTGTTTGACTTTAAAACCTCCGCGATCATCTTCATAAACTGCAGCATCAAGTCGACAGAGCCTCCACCTTCAGGAGCAAGCGACTTGATTTCGAAATCCACCATGGACGGGCCCAGAGTCTTCAGATGGGCCATGCATTCGCTGAAATCGTTGGAGCCTCTCGTCGCATCCAGTTTCCTTCCGAAGGCCGAAAAATTGGTAAAGTCCTGAGGGAACAACATCTTGCTCTCGCCCTCTTCAGTGGGCAGCGCGTTTTTCAAGTCGAATTCAAAGGTCGATAATGTGGAAACCGTTGGGAGGAAGAAGGGCGCCGCTTTGGGAACCTTGGGAGGCGCCTTTGGCTTGTTTCTTTGCTTCACCAAGTCAATATTCAACAGATTCTGCCACCTGGATGAAGCCAGGCCAGACAGGGTTATTAAATCTTTGCTGATCTGGTCTGGGGATATGAACTCGGTGTCATCGGTTTCTGGAACGTCCAGGCATTCCTCTTTGTACTCCGTCTGGATCTTGAAAGAAACATGAAAATGGAGTGTTTAATTTTCTGTAGGAGTCTTACCTCGGGGAATTCAATCAGCGGGGGTTCCTCCTCGGGTGACAATGCCTTTAGGGCAATTTTTTGGAAGAGCGTTTTGTTGGACCACAGGAAAATTCCTGAAAAAACACATCCCTGTAAGCACAAAAACCAGCCTATCTGTTACGGCTACTCACCCAGATAATCCACATGGGCAGTGGCGAGCGTTTCTCCGGTAGGAGACATATCAATGGAGATGGGAGCGGCTTCAGTGGCAAACTGATCCACCAAGAGCCCCGATGGAATGTTCCATGTTCTGATGCTGCAGTCCATTGAGGACGTGACTGAAGCAGGGAAAATACAACATTGGGGCTTGGGAGCAACACATATTCCCAACACTTACTCAACCACCTAGAATCTGGACTAAACGTGGCGTCCGTCAATTGCCCCGTATGGCCAGCGAATTTCCTCACCACTCTCTGAGTGTCTATGTCTACAACTGAGATCGTGAAGTCGTCAAGACCAACTGCTAACATCGCATTTTCGCTGTGGCTGCGCAAAAAGCTCACTGACTCCTCTACGTTTAACTGAGACAGCAATTCGTCTAAAGGAGCAAGCAGATTAGATTTTTGAATTGCGTCCAAACAAATTGCACCTTTTTTGGTTTTGAAGCGCCAGAACTTTAGCAATCCGTCACTCCCTCCTGTAATGGTGACCTGATTTAGTCCATCGGTAGCGACACCTCTTATAGAACTCTCGTGGGCTTTGGGATCGCCGTATGTGCCCCTCCAGATGCCAGATTGAATGTTGAACCTAAATAGAAAAATCCATTAAATGTTCCTTCAGGTTGGGAAGGGTTATTCCGACCTATCCACATGTCCCGTATTGTAGCCGACAATGACAAAGTTCCCGCACTGCGTCAGGCATAAACAAGTGGCCTCTACATCCCACATGTTCTTCAAGTTCTTCTTGTGAAACCTTTCCGGGAGCAGTTTCAGATCGCCCATTTTCTTCTTGTCGTATGACCAACTGGTAACCATCGGTAAACCTACGAAGTTAAGGTGCAGAAAGGCGATAGATTAGCCTGAGGCTCATTACCTAAATGAAGGGCGGCAATGTTGTCCCATTCTTTCTCGCGCGTTGTTTCAGATGTAAATTTGACTATTGGGGGCATTTTCAAAGGATCCTCTATTCCTCGCTTGCGCTTTTTGCTGCTTTTTCGATTATACGAGGCTTTGCCCAGGCTTTTGTTAAACTGTTCGCTTCGGGTGTTGAAGATTCGCAACGACGAATCACTTGCCGCGCTCAGGATGTTGCTTCCATTAGCACCATGAAATCTTGCAAGGAACAATCTAATGAATTTCTGAAGACTTAAGGATTACCTCCGTCGCTACCTAATGTGGTTAGGGGAAGCAGAATGTCCTTCTCGTATTCTCAACAGTCTAGCGCCACCATCGGTCATGTCGAAAATCCACAGCTTCAGCGTGTTATCAGGTGAGGAGGTCAACATTAGCGGCTCATTGGGCAAACACACCATGCCACTCACTGCACCATCATGAGCAGAGGGAAGCTGGCTGCTCACCCTTCTCGCCTCCAAATCCCAAAACACTATATGACCAGAAATGCCTCCTGAAAATAATAAAAATTCCAGGAACGTCGTACCATCTAAAGGAGTTAAAAGTAGGCGTACCGGATGCCATGATGGGATGCCCATCAGATCTAAACGAAAGGCTGGTTACCATGCCCCAATCCTGTTGGAACTCCATTATGGTTTCATCAAATTTCAAATTGTGAATAATAATCCTGCCATTCACAAGCCCTACTCCCACTACGTCTAATGCAGGCGCTTGCTCTATACAACTGATTCCCGCATCCCAGCCTGAAACCCAATTAAATTTCTCTTTGACTCCAAGATGTTGATCAAATTCCTTACCTTCAAAGCTGTAAATCAGTTTAGCTTGATTCAGGTTCCACAGCTGCATTGTGCCCTTTGCACTGCCCAGCAGTATCTTGTTCAAGTACGTGCTGGGATGCATCAGAACGCTAACAGGAAAAACGTTTCTATCAAACGTTAGTTCTAGAAAGAGGGACTCGCCCTTTATGTCCCAGACCTTCAAGTGGCTGCTCTCGTCTATGGAGATTAGATGCACACCAAATGCGAGCATCAAGACAATGGGATGCTCATGGCCTCTGGAACATACGAAACATACTATACGGTTGGAGAAACAGATAAGAGGCACAGTAAGCGGACAGTTTAAACATAAGCTTTTAATAGGATCATGTTACTAGGAGGTACTGGTGCAGCGAGCAATGGAGGAATCTTAAGTTTAATTTCGACAAATTTCATGGGAGATTCATGGAAGCCTGTTGGCAACAAGACTCGAAGCTGTTTGCTTCTGGATTCTTCAATTCCTTAAAGCCGAGCTTTAGCTCTGGCACACACGCTCTTATGAAGCTACTAATGGATGCAGTAAATTAAAAGAGGATTCAAGAACTTAGGACTTACCTATAAGTGTGTTTAAGTTCAGTGCCTCGCCTCCAAGCATAAATGGTGTTTCCAGATGCCGTATAAACATGGAACGCGTCTGTAGTCATACAGGTAATGTCTTTCGAATGTAAACCACTCACGCTAAGCAGCCCGAAGTGCGTAATTCCATAAGTATGAAAAGATTTGCCCACACAAGTGACTATAAGATGTTCTTTTCGGGCTTTTATGTATCTCACTCGCAATGGTAAGTGATTGCTCACATAGCCCAAGCTGCGAGAGGGCAAGAAGATTTTGCTGCTGGGTGCCATGACTGTCGCTTCACTACCAAACAGGACTTTGCATTATTTGAAACACATGGATTTCAAACCAACACACATAAATAACCAGAGAAAAACAGGTTAGGATCATGGAACAAGACTTAGGTTAGGATGTTCTCTGGATAGGTTGCGACCACAGAACATCCCTCTTTTTCAGGAGCATCTAAGCAAAGGACAGACCAACGCTGCCGTTTACCACGATTGATCATTTCTAATCTAACGCCTCTTTTATTCGCGAGCAGGGTAGGCGTTTCTCTATGGGGTAGACAAGAAAAGAACTACTTGTCTTCATCTATTTAAATGGCCAACCGTGGCAACGTTGGACTGTCCTTTGTTTAGCTGCTTCTCCATTTTCGCTGTTTTGTTTTAGATTTGCATTCGTCATTTCGTTCGGACAATAAAATCGCAAAACTCGAATTAATACGGATTGTTGCATTTGGCCCCTTTGGGTATTGTTCAGTTGTGCAATTGGTTGCTTTGTCTACATAAATAGGAAAAAAACGTTTGCGGTAGATAATTGATGATCAATCAAAAAGTTTTTTTCACGCAAATGGAGTAACCGCCCGAATTCATATTATAACAAGAAAAACACTGACAATTTGCCCATAATGGAAACACAAATGGTTTAAAAGCCGCAGCAAAAAGATCGTTATTTACTCGTGATTATTCCAGCAATTACAAAATCACCAGTAATGCGTAGTAAAGCGCATTAGGTGCTCGCTCAGAAGAGAAGCAAAATGATATTCCGATTAGCGGGTCTGATTTTACTAATGAGTTCTACTACAAATGGAACCAAGCTGTTCAAACACATGCTTTCCGCAAGTCCTGATGTAAAGAACTGCTTGCAAACCGTGAATGATGAGCATAACTTTTGGTCTCTAGTGTTAATACACGGAAAACCGGAAATAGGCGGACTTCAGCAAGCTTTAAAGCTGCCAACGTACTCTTTGAATGTGAACCCTCACAAGCCTGCTTGGCCTCCTCAAGCTTCTATAATGGAAAACCGGCTACTTTACGTAATTTACCGAGCAGAATTGGAGTCCGCTTTATCCATCCTCAGGCAAACTGGCTGGTGGAATAGACGCGATAAACTGCTAATATTCCAGGACAACCGGCTAATCCAGCAGAATTTAACCGGAATATTTCATAAATGCTATCAAAGCACTCAATTCAGGGCCTTGAATGTAGCGCTGGTTTCTCTTGTCGGTGAAACTTCGGAAATCCAGGCTGTTTACCTGAACAACCCGTTTTTCCACCAACTATCAGACAGAAGCAACTGCAGCGATTTATTTCCGAACTACTTCAACGACATCAACGGCTACAATATTCCAGTGTCGATGAAATTGTCGCTAATGTTCACAAAATCGGGAAATGTCCATCTTGGACCCGAAGCGAAATTTGCCCAGTCGGTCATTAGGGCTATGAATGGTTCAGGTAAGATCGCATATACAGGGTGATTCAAAATTGGCGTCATTTCTCTGAAGGTGTTGTCTGGCGGTGTTTTAGGAGTACAGAAAAAATAGTAAAAAAAAATAATTCTTGTTAAAAACCGAGCAATTTGCAAAAAACTGTATTAGAAAAACGGCAACAATGTTTTTCAAGGTAGTCTGGCTAATTAACATTACGTAAATATCTGTTGCTTCGCAAGTATTTAAAACTCCGGTAACCATGGATAAATAGAAAGTGACAAATAAGATAGACACGGATAAACGGTAAATTTGACAGGAATCGTTGAATGACGGAACCTATTTCAAAACTCATAACCTCGAT